GTAGTGGTAGTGGTAGTGGTAGTGGTAGGGGTAGGGGTAGGGGTAGTGGTAGTGGTAGTGGTAGTGGTAGAGTAGTAGTAGTAGTAGTAGTAGTAGCAGTAGTAGTAGTAGGAGTAGTAATATGTACTATACTTGCTGTAGGGTGTTGCCTGTCTCAAGTCTCTTTGCAAACAGCTGCGCCAACAGATATGGAAATGCGTCCGACCCGAGTCACTCTGGCATATCTTCCCACACTATGGTGAGTTTTGTGGTTCTCGATTTTGCTTGGGTCCTCCGGTTGTGCGTTGTGGCTCCGGATGGGGAACGCTGGGATGGTGGTGGTTCCGGCGGGGAACACTGGGCGCGGATGGTCCTGGTTGAGGTCTGGCAGGGAACACTGGGCTTGATGGTCGTGGTTGAGGTCCGGCGGGGGCGCGGATGGTCGTGGTTGAGGTCTGACAGGGATCAGTGGTCGTGGTTAAGGTCCGGCAGGGAACACTGGGCGTGGATGGTCGTGGTTGAGGTCCGGCAGGGAACGGATGGTCGTGGTTGAGGTCCGGCAGGGAACACTGGGCGTGGATGGTCGTGGTTGAGGTCCGGCGGAGGACGACGAGGAGAAGGAGAAGGAGGAGGAGAAGGAGATGGACTGACCTAAAATCTAACAACCCTCACCTGACAGTTGGGGAATTAACGCTGCGACCGCGCCCATTCAAAACTAGGACGAGTCGTGACGAGTAAGAGTCCTGAAATCTGAACAAACCGCAAGATAAATTCTATACGCTGGACTCACAGTTGCCTCAGTGCTTTGCATGTGTCATTTCTGGGTTCCCCTTCCATCTAGAACCTTTGAGTCCAACAGCGGCTGGCATGTTTTTTGGAGTGCAAAGTGGGTTTCGAGGTTATGGGACAACAGTGTCAGTGAGATGTCCACGGTGGAGAAGGAGAAGGCTTTCTACGAGGCAGGGTTGCTTCACGGAGGCAAGACAAGATTCGTTGCTTTAGACCAGGCATCTTACACTAGGACACTGCTTGCCAGCAACTTTGATTGTCGCTTGAGCTACTGACCTAGTTTAAATTCAAGTGGAGATGTGTTGTTACCTTGCTGAGGGGCATTGCAAGGGCAACGCCAAGAGCAAGATCCAATGGGTCGTGAAGAAATGGAGTACATCCTCGCATCTTGGAGTACGTGCAAGGTAGATCGGTCTGCTTTGGGGTGTGGGTCCTTCAACGTCCGAAGGTCCCGCGGGTGGAAGAAGTTTGTTGCTTGGCTTTGGCCCTTCTCGTCACGGCCCAGGCATCATAAGTGGGAATGTGGCTGGCAGGGGTGCCAAGTAGCGAGCGACATTCAGACGCACCTAAAACCCTAAAAACATTTAGATGCAGTAGCAGCACCGTCCCAATCATGTCCAATGTGTCCATGAATACTGTGCCTTCTCCCTGCAGCAGGTTCGACGAAGACAAGAAACAGATCTTCTCATATCACTATATCAAGGATCATGCAGGCGCGTTTGGGCGCGTGGTGCTTGTGGCAGCTTTTTCCCGAATGCGTAGCGAAGGGTTCCCGTTTAACTCTGGCGGTCTGGGGGTAGAGCCTTGTTCGCGACCCGTTGTCTCAACATCCGCAACCGTCCTCAACCGTCCGCGACCGACCGCGCCGTCCGCCGCGGGTTTGGCATGGAAGCGTGATGTGTCAGATTCGTGTGAAATAGCAAGGAAACGTGTGGAAACGTCAGATGTTGAAGTGTGGAGGATGAGTTCACTGCGCAGGCGCAGCGTTTTGTGAGATCGGCCGTTTCCTGCACAGTTACAGTGGGATTAGCGTTTGGAGAGTGGTGTTTTTGGGGTGTTGGATGTGGCTGTGCCATTGGGATTTGCGTTTCAGGGTGTTGCGTCGAAGCTCTGTTTTCGTGACAAGTCTCAGCTGAAATTGCGATTTTGGTGGATGGGAGTGTTCTCAGAACGGGTCGAAATCATTCCAAACGTGTGATGTGGTGCAAATTTTGTTGAAGCTCACGTAATATGATATTGTCACTTTTCGTGGCAGGTGCAGTACTTTGCGCGGGTTGTGAGGTATGGAAGTGGTTTTTTCGCGGCAGGCGCAGGGGATCGTGAGGTTGTGAGGTGTGATGGAGGTGACATTTCGTGGCAGGTGCAGTACTTTGTGCGCGTTAGACGCGTGGATACGGAAAGTTTTGTGGTTGGCGTGTGAGCGGGCGTTGTTTGGAGGGGCTGGAATCGCGAAACTGCTTGGCAGGGCTGCTTGATGTGTGTGCTCCGATGGGTGTTTCCGCTTGACTTGTGGAGGACGTCTCGTACGAAATGCTCGTTTTGGAGACTTCATTATGTGACTTCTGGAGGAAGTCTCGTACGAAACGCTGGTTTTGGAGACTGGGCGCGACACTTTTGGAGGAAGTCTCGTACGAAACGCTCGTTTTGCAGACTCGAAGCGTGATTTTTGGGGGAAGTCTCCTACGAATCGTTTTGCAGACTCGAAGCGTGAGTTTTTGAGGAAGTCTCGTACGAAACGCTCGTTTTGCAGACTCGACGTCGACGTGTGAGTTTTTGAGGAAGTCTCGCGCGAAACGCTCGTTCTGGAGACGTGACGGTGGACTATTGGGAGACTTTAGTTTAGTAGTCCCCTACAAGACTGTCCCACAAGAGTGTCCTATACAGGACTGTCCTACAAGTGTGTCCGACAAGAGTGAGAGTGTCCGACAAGAGTGTCCTACAAGAGTGTCCCACAAAAGAGTATCCTACAAGAGTGTCCTGCGAGAGTGTTCAAGAGTGACAAATTAGAGTGTCCCACAAGAGTGTCCCGCAAGAGTGTCCCACAAGAGAGTCCTACAAGACAGTTCTGCAAGAGTGTTTGATGAGAGTGTCCGACAAGAGTGCCCTACGAGAGTGTCCCATCAGAGTGACATACAAAAGTGTCCCACAAGAGTGTCCTACACGACTGTTTCGCAAGAGTGTCCTACGAGAGTGCCCCACAAGAGTAGGGATATGAAGATCTGGGGCGCTGTGCTGAGCAAATGTCTGGAGATGGGTAAGAACCTTTTAAGTTGATGGCGTGACCGGCGAGTTAATACACTGTGAACAAGAGAGAACATCTATTATCCAGAGTGGAGTGTGGACCTGGTTCGCAAAGGCGCGCAACCCTGAGAGACCGAGCTGCCTAGCCTCTGCAAAACAGACAGACCTGCTTTACCTGGAGACAGACATCCAGGGAGGGTGCTGGTAGAAGCAGTGTTGGTGACGAGGGCGAAGGCGCTGGCAAGGGCGAGGACGGAAGGGACTGTGCGATAGTCCCGGAAGTAGGACACGAAGACAGATGGAGAAGAGAGAAAGAGGAAGACGCAGAGGAAATGGACGTGGCAAGCAGGCAGGTTCTAGGTAACCCGGGTAACCCGCCCAGAATTATGTTCAATGATATTCATAAAGTTATCCCTTTTGCTCCTAAATCCTTTTTGGGGTCAATTTGCCTGGATAATTTTTAGGCGCGTAACCGGGTCTTTTTCAGTCGACTGACAGCCAGCTTCCGGTAGAGCACTCTGTCTCTGTGAGCCTAAGCAACGCCGTAACGCTTAAGCTGTCCAATACGTTGTTTCTTCGCTAAAGGGCTAATGCTTCCGTAGGTAACCTTTGTGAACCTGTCAAACTCCGTCTCTAGGAATCCTCGCCAATGGCTTGCTAGCCGGGCCAACCCAAGGACACCAAGATTGTTAAGCTTGATCTACTTAAGCCCACTTTTCTGTACACATCTCTTTCCCTGAAGCCCGTTGAGTGCCCTCTGTCCAGCTCAGCCGTAATCGGATGTCAACTGAAAGCAGACAGACTGAAAGCCTCTAGACCGTCAGACCTAGAAAGGGCAGGAGAGAGCGACTAAAGGAGCCTCAAGAGCAACCTAACAAGCCTGACAAAACACCTAACAAACGAGGGAAAAAGGCAAGAGAGAAAGAATGGGACAGCTGAGATCATGAAAAGATGTCTCGTTGACCCACATGTGAACTGGGAACTAGTGTCGTGATGAATTTGGCGCCCCTTGCGGGGATCACACTGCATACCCAAGTGGGAAGATGCGGCTGGTCACACTTAGACTGAGACTCATAGCTCAAACGAAGAAGCACGCTTTTCAGAAAGTTGTTCTCCGCTGCATAAGACGCCTACTGCGCTAGCTGCTGGCTGCGAAACAACGAAGGAGACTGCGTTGGCCATACTTAACTTAGCATCGTGATCAAAAAGCAGGTACATGTGGTTGATCAGACCACTCTCCACCGAAATGCCATAGCTTCGTTGGACTGGATAGGCAAATCGGGTCCAGTCCCCCTGCTGCTTAAAAATTGGTGAGGACTCCTAGAGACGGAGTTTGACACACACACACACACATATAGAAATGGTGTGCGGTTTGCCACACGGCAACCTAAAAAATTGCCAGTAAAACGGCAGAGGTAGGTTGGAGGTCATCGCTAGGAAGGTGGAGGCCATCGCTAGTAGGTTAGGTGCACAAGCTGAAAGCGACACCAAGCAACAAGGTTAGAGGTCATCGCTAATGGGTTGGAGGCCATAGTACCAGGTTGGAGGCCAGCGCTACAAGTTTACAAGAGCAGCGTCAAAACAACAAGGTTGGGGGTCAGTTCTAGTACGTTGGAGGCCATCGCACCAGGTTTGAGGCCAGCGCGACAGGTTCACAAGACACAAACACAAACTCAAAAAACCCAAAAAACATCCTTGGTTAGAGGACATTGCTAGTGGTTGGAGGCCATCGCATCCAGGTTGAAGGCCCGCGTTACAAGTTTTGCAAGGAGGCCTACCTGCAAACCTATAGAGTAGAATAGAAGAAAAAACAGAAGGAAAGGCGCCGACGCACAAGTGTGTCGAGTACCGTTTCCTTCTGTTTTCCTGAATACTAGAGCAGGTGCGTGGAAATGGATTCCCATTTCCATATCCTCAGATACGTCGCCAGCTTCGTTGACCAGGCGACGATGTATCCGGCCTGGTCCCCTGCTCGAAACCAAAAGGTTCCCTGTGACCACCCCCACACCCCCACACATGCATATTTGCTGAGAGGCGGTTCGCAATGATGAAGGGACACTAAATCCACCTGTGGGAGGGCTCAAGGACATGCGAATTTGCAGGGAACATGTGTTGATCAGCGGGTGAAACGCAAACAAAGACACAACCTATGCAAACTATCACATCAAGTCAAAAAACACTCATGTACACTTCGTTGTAATGCGCTCAGAGATGGAACTGCAGTACTGTGCTCTACAGCACACTTCAAGACCTCATCTGCACCTAAACACCTTCAAACCTAGATAGGGTTGTGATCAAGCAACGCCACAACTGTAACTGAGGAGCGCGTGGCAGAGAGTTTCATTGAGCACGGTTTTTTGGGCCTCTTGTGCACCCTTGCAAACAAACACATTGCACCTTTGTTCGCCTTGCCAGGGTGCCCAGGACCCAAACCTTTCTCTGACCTTGAATTGGCACGGTCAGTCGGCGCCAATGATTTTGTTGCAGGTGCCAGAAAGACGGGTAATGGCCACAGCTCTTCGGATGGTTATTGGGGAACCTTGGTTCAGCCAACAGTGCTTTGTTCACTCTGGTTGAAACTGGGGAGTGAAGAGGATTTGGTTTGATTTTGGGGGAACTGGCTTGATCGTATCTCTATCTCCGTTCACCCCATGCCTTGTGTGGACTCTGCGTAGCTTTGTTGCTGAGACTGAAGGAGTGAGACTGAAAAAGTGCAATGTGATCAACTACTGGATGCAGTTTTGCTCGCTTTTGGTTGGGGACGTGGTTTTTCTCAATGTTGGCGGAGCGGAAGGGCATGGGTGAAGCTTGGGCACCTAAGCACTCACCAACCTACCCAGGGGGCCGTTCCATGCCAAGGATGGATGGATTTGACAGAGCAACTTTCAAAGAAGATGCTTGGCATTGTCCGACGGTTTTGTGTCTTCCTCCGCGGCTCCAGGCCCCCCGTTCTCATTTTGGTACTAAGGAATTGTCCGACGCCCCCCCGACCACAACGGCCAAGTCAGGGACAAACACAAGAGCGATTAGTTTCGTGCTGCCCATGGGCGTGCTTGGAGCTGCTCGGCTGCTTTGGCTTTCAGAAACCTTTTTGCGGAAACGTTGCTGACTGAGTCTTGTGAAATTTGCGTGTGGCTGCGATGAAACAAGGTCATGATGATGGCGACCTTGGGTGTTTAGCCTTCAGAGTACCGGAGATGAGATGCAAGCGAAAAATAAGACCATGGCGAGCTCGGCATTTCATACAGGACGCATGGACTGAGTATATGGGAGCAAGCTATGCAGTGGGTATTGGGACATGCAGTTCAAGCAAAATCATGCCTTCAACAGCTGCTAGGCTGGCCAGCTTGCGATGCCAGGAGACTGGGTGGGCTCTTGTGAACCATCTTGTTTCTGCGATTCGTGCCTTGTGTTATCATGTTCCAGGCAACAAAGAAGCACTATGGCTCCTGAGTCAATGAAAACACACTTCTCACCAGCGCCACCAACCTTTTTATGCAAAAAACTGCAAACAAAGTTTGAATCTGCGAGAGAAATCGTCTCCATTCGGAGAATTTCAGAGAGCAAGGAAAGGAAACTACACTGTATTGAAACTACGTTGTATCACTTGTATATATTTTGACGCCAATCCAAACTTGTTCATGAGGGTCGTTGAAACACCAGCAAAGCTCAACGCATGGATTGGAATGACACTTGTAGAACAAGCATGGTGATGATGTGGGTCACTTATTATTGGTTAAGTGGGTTTGGAACAAGGGGGTTACTCTTGACATCTGTTCAGCTTCCGGTGTTTCATTTCATTGGGTTGTTACTTGTTCAATAATGCAATGACCGTGATCAACCTGGTCGTATGCCAGTTTGGCTAGAAGGTGATCACCCCAGGTTCAAATTTTGATTGAGCCACGGGGGTTCTTTCTTTGGGCCTGGGAGTGATCGCCAAGGTGGTCTTAGGGCTCCAGACCGCAGCCATGTCCGTTCCACCTTTTGTTCGACAACAAGCGCTCACAGTGAACAGAGCCGTGAGGCCGGAAGATTCTGTGAGCAACATTAGTTCATCGAGCTGGACCCATCTTCCGGATCCTCCTGAAGCTTTTAGCTGGACTGGTCCGATCGAGTCAACTGAAGAAGACGATGACCTTCCCCCAGCAGATCTTAAGCTTCCTAAGGTGATTGATCTGGATAACAAGGTCAAGCCTTCTCAGGATGCCAGCAAGTCAAGTGACCCACTGCCGCAGGATCAGGCTCAAACACCAGCTGATCAGCCTGCAGAGCAAGGTACTGAACCAAGACCGGCTCCAGCAGCTAAGGCCAGACCTACGATGGCAGCTCAGTCATTAGCAGCACCATCCATGGCGGCTCCTGCACCTCAGGCGGCAGCTTCAACGGCGGCTCCCGCAACTCAGGCTGCCCAGAACTTTTTGGCGGGCACCAATCCTCAGTATGGCTCCCGTAAGGTGAGGAAGCAAGCAGAGCGGGCAGCCAGAAAAGGAGCACGCTCACTCAGGCTTGGACAGATGGGCGTTCACAATGCCCTGAGTGCCACCCTGCCACCTTACCTCAGGCAGGTAGGGGCAGGCACTGAGGAACGATTGGTCTGGACTCTCGTGACCAAAGGATCTCATCCCCGTTCCAGGACTGCCTCCTTGATGAGATATTGGTCAACGCACAGGCTGGAGTCAATGTGCTTTCTGACGCTTGTCAGGTGCGAAGTCCCAGCACTGGGTACCACATGAACCTCTTTTACATGAGGACACTCGAGGGCAAAAAGCTGATCATTGTGGGCTCAATGCTGTCGTACGGATCTGTACCGTGCGGGAGATGGGACTCCTACACTGGCGATGTGCTCTCGCACAAGGCTTTTCAGCCATTAGGTGGCCCATCGTGCGCGATGATAGTGCGATTGTGGGTCGATCTGAAGTTCAAAGTGGAAGGAGCACTCGAGCTCAGGGGGTATCGTTCAGACAACGATGTGACGGTTCAGTTGAACTACATCAACGATGCCCTGGTCATGGGTCTTGGGCAGGGGTTGTTCATCCCGTCGTGCACGATCGTGGTCTTCCAGGGGAGGGTGTGCGCCATCTCGTTCAAGGTTGGCGGGCAGCTCTACGCATGTGGCGAAGGTGGAGCCGTCCTCGCTCTGGGCTTTCCGCTATGCCACTTTGAGATTCGGCTGACAGGTGTCCTTGGCAGACTCCCTGGCCGCGCGTGGAGTTCCGGTTCAACTCTGCCCAGGACCGGCTCAACATGGCCTGTGAGACTTTGGCTGATGTTGCGCTCGCACAGCGCTTGCTGCAAGGCTTTACCATTGTGGGCCCCATCGCTCGCTTGAGCCGCTGGCCAGACTATGTCTAGCCCCAGAAGGTGTGCTCAGTTGCGGATTCATTAGCTCAGGCCTGGGATCTCCGAAAGAAGGTTGCTCGGGTTAAAGCTGTTCCAATTTCTGAGAACCTCCAAAATCAGGCAACCCCAGGCCAGGTGTGCCACGTGGCTCTCTATGAGGCGATGTTGCAAGCTTGCGGCTCTCCAGATGTTGCGCTCGCACAGCACTTGCTGCAGGGCTTTACCATTGTGGGCCCCAGCTCGCTCGAGGCGCTGGCCAGACTATGTCAAGCCCCAGAAGGTGTGCTCAGTCGCGGATGCGCTAGCTCGGGCCTGGGATCTCCGAAAGAAGATTGTTGCTCGGGTTAAAGCTGTTCCAATTTCTGAGAACCTCCAAAAGATCTGGGAGGCAACGATCGAAGATTGCCAGGAAGGCTCCTCGGTTGGCTTCTTGGATTCTGAAGGGGAAGTGTCGAAGTTTTTGGGTTGCGAAGATTGGATCCCAACTCAAAGATTTTTTGAAGTTGTTCAAAAGAATAAAGTAAGGGGGTGTGACAGTGCCACCACCAACATGATCAATCAAATAACAGAGATCACTGAGAAGCTGCAGCTCCCGTCAACAGACTCCAACGTGGCGGCGCTGCGAAAGCTCAGATCTGATCTACCAACTGCTGACCTAGCAGGATGGGTGCTGGATGAACGGAAGGCCTACAGACAGGTGGCCATTCGTCCTGATCAGAGAAAAATTTCTGTTATTTGTTTGAAGAACCCTGCAACTGATCAGCCATGTTTCTTTGTGATGATCGGCCATTCGTTCGGACTAGTGTCGGCCGTGTACAACTACAATAGAAGGTCTGCGGCCATTAACGAATGTTTGGTCTGTTCAACCTTGTGGCATTCAGTTTTTACGATGATAAATATGGGTTCGAACCAGTGGGCTCGGTAGAAAGCGCTCGACTGACGGCGGAGTGCGTTCACACGTGGCTGGGCGCTCGCTATGATCAGAAGAAGCTGCAGCTCACGTCGTCCCCCACGATCTTGGGCGTGACCTACAACCTGGAGAAGATGCAGCTCAAGATTAAGCCAGAGAGGCGCCCAGATCTGCTCAGTGAGATTTGCTCTATTCTAGAATCTGATTTGCTTGACCCAGGGTCTGCGGGAAAGCTCAAGGAAATTCATGTTTGGAGCCTCGCAGCTCTCGGGGAAAGTAGGCAGAGCGTTTTAAAGAGTGATCTCAGAGAGGCAGGTTGTGAGAATGCCGCTCGGCCCTAAGTTCGGGTTGGACGAAGCTCTGAGAGAAGCCCTGCGACAGTGGCTGAAGCTCATTGATGCAGGTCCTCCACGATCCATCGATCGACAGATGTCTAAGACAGCTGACGTGATCATTTTTACTGATGGTTTTACGCCCGACCCTCGTGAGGCTGTTCGGCCGCGGCTCCCCGAGGCAGTTCTCTGAGGTGATCCCTGTTTCTGTCAGTTCAAAATGGTTGAAACGAACCACTCAAATCATACCGATTGAGATGATCGCTCCCATACTTGCGTTAGCAACTTTTCGTGATCGTCTAGTGAATGCTGACGTGATTTTGCTCATAGACTCGGAAGCGGTGGAAGCAGCCTTGATCAAGGGCTACTCTAGCAAATCCGACGTCTGTGAGCTTATTTCTTTGTTTTGGGAACTTGCTCTCAAATTGAGATGCAGGGTCTTCATCGATCGCGTTGATGCCAGCCCGGCCGACTGGCCCTCTCGCATTGATCTGAAGAGAGGCCGGGAGGCGGGATGGAGCCCGGTCAAGGCTGCATGGCCGCCAAGCATGATCATGTAAGTCTGGGCCTGGGGAGTTGATCCAAGCTTCATTGGTCAGTTTAGACCAGCCTGCAGATCTCCGGTTCTTTTGTTTGATCCTTGGTGAGATGTTGTTTGAAGATCTTTTCTTGGTTGGAACTGGTGTGGCAGGAAGGACACTGATCAGGAAAGCTCAAACACTTTGAACTCAGGATCACTCGACCCCATGCCTGACGCGATCAAAAGTTGAGTGCGGCGGCGGTCTCTCTTTGAAGGAATGCTGAAAGGTGTGTTCACACACACCACACGCCGTTGATGTTTTGAGTACCACATATATGGTTTTTTCACCGAGTCTGCCCATAGGCTTTGTTTTTGTTGTTCTGATATGATGAGCTGTTGGTGGTGTGATTTTTCGTGGCTTGTCATGTCCAGGCCACGGCATCTCTGCTTTTCCATTTGTTTGAACAGAGACCTTTACTTTGATTTGTACCGTAGTAGAGTCTCTACTGTTGAAGAGAAAAATCTACCTTACCTGTTGTGTCTCTCTCTACACACATGTACCTTTCTGGGCCCTGTATACCGTTCTCTAGAAATCCTTTTTATCCTAGACAATTGCATTCATTTTATACTCTTCAGTGGACACTTGTTGCTTTTCATACTTGGCTCTTCAAACCTGTGCATTTCACCGTTGGTTAATCAAATTCAGTTCTCTCAGGCAAGGTCTGGACACCCTCAATGGCAGGTGCAGATGTTTAGTAGGCTCCCTGTGACAAGAAGAGATGTCCCCGAACACATTGATCTTTCCAAGTGGACTGGAACAAAGGAGGCAAGTCTTGCAAACGCTGCTTTGGTCGAACTCAGTGCCAGCTTGTTGCTGTGGAGGCGTTTGCCTGAGATTGACCTGCGCTTATGAACCACACGCCGGCGCGAATTAGATGCTATTGCTCTCCTCAGTTGCAAACTGCCGGGGTGTCCGTGAAAAACAACTTCCAAGGCCAATCATGATTGTTCCGGGAATCCTTATGACGATTGAGGGTTGCAATTGTTGACTCACACTTTCGGCGACTTCACCTTGATGGGGTCAGAATCGGGAGAAAAGCGTTGTAGAGTTTTATGAAGCGCAGGAATGGAGAGAATGTTTGGAGTTTGGGCAGTTGAGATCCGTGTTTTGCTTATCCCATTCATAGGAACAGCTATATAGTACTTCTTCTTCCTCTTGCTTTTCTTCTTCCTCTTCGTTGTCGAAGGTCTTTTCTAAAGAAGATACACACCGAATATGCGACCTTTGTTTTTTCTGCACAATTGGTATTGGCTGTCATATTGGCTTCGATGCTGGAGTGGTGCAGGACATCTTGACACAGATTCTGGCAGCAAGGGCTAGAAGGCTATAAAGCAGCAGACATTTACAAAACCTTACCACAAGAGGTTTCCTCGTGCAAGATAGACGAGCAAAGCTTAGACACACGCAGCCGAGACATCCAAAACATCCAAGTTGTGTAGGGATATAGCTGCTGCAGGGAGCAAGTTGTTGCAGACACACTCAGCTTCACCAATGTGCTGGAGCAGCGCCACAGCACAGAGGGCTGGCAATGCAACTTTGGTCAAACCAAATTATCTATCTATCATCTATCTATCTATCTTTCTTTCTTCCCTTCTTCCTTTCTTTCTTTCTTGATTCTAAGAGCGGTGGCCTCCAACCTAACAGCAATGGCCTCCAACAAAATAGCAATGGCCTGCAACCTAATAGCAATGGCCTCCAACCTAATGGCAGTGGCCTCCAACCTAATAGCGATGGCCTCCAACCTAATCGCAATAGCATCCAACCTATAATAGCAATGGCCTTCAACCAAATAGCAATGGCCTCCAACCTAATGGCAATGGCCTCCAACCTAAAAGCAATGGCCTCCAACCTAATGGCCTCCAACCCAATAGGCCTCCGACCTAATAGCAATGGCCTCCAACCTAATAGCAATGGCCTTCAACCAAATAGCAACGGCCTCCAACCTAATAGCCACGGACTCCAACCTAATAACAATGGCCTCCAACCTAATAGCGATGACCTCCAACCTAATAGCGATTGCGTCCAACCTAATAACGATGGCCTTCAACCAAATAGCAATGGCCTCCACCAACCTAATAGCGATGGCCTCCAACCTAATAGCGATGGCCATCAACCTAATAGCGATGACCTCCAACCTAATACAATGGCCTCCAACCTAATAGCGATGGCCTCCAACCTAATAGCGATGGCCATCAACCTAATAGCGATGACCTCCAACCTAGTAGGAGTGGCCTCCAAACTAATTGCCATCGCCTCCAACCTAAAAGCAGTTGCCTCCATAGCAATGGCCTCCAATCTAATGGCCTCCAACCCAATAGACAATGGCCTCCAACCTAATAGCAATGGCCTCCAACCTAATAGCGGTGGCCTTCGACCTATTAGCGATGGCCTCCATTTCTCCATTTCTCCGAAGGGATCAGGCGCCGCGGCTTATGGCGGGGGCGACCTTGGCCCTGTTGGAAGGCTAGCTACAACACTAAGTCGAAGATCTCCCGTCCAGTGAGTAGGACGGCCTTGAACTGTCCGATGAACTCCTCGATGCGTCGCAGTCGGGATGGACCCATTCGAAAGCACAAACAATGTGCCCAGAAGACCACCTGTCGGGTTGAGGGACGCACATACGATGTATGCAGCGGGGTGCCTTCGAGCTTGTGAACTCTGATCAAAAACAATCGAAACCATTTTATGCGATCTGCAAGCTCGAATTGCCGTGCTTCTTCTGTGGTGAGCCAATACCATTTGGCAAAATTTTGTGAAGCACGAATCCCTCCGCTGCCCGTTTGGAGAACGAAATCTATTAGAAGAAAGAACCAAGGTACATGTACCGCATCGGCGGTGGGGTTGCGCAAGCTTTGGGACCAATTGGTCAGGAGGGACCAACCCTCTCCCACAAGTTTGTGGGTACATGTCTGTGGCAGAGGCGGCAATGGTGCCAATGTGGCTTTCTGAATTGGCAATGGAAAAGCGGTCTGAGGGGGATCTTCCGCCTGTGGTGGCGGGTCTTTACTTACCGCTTCCTCGCTTACCCTAAGCATATTCTGATGTACTTGGTCTCTCAAGATTCGTGCAGCGGCTATGTCTTGTGTGGCTTGTTGCCACAGGCGATGGAGGGATTGCGGAAACAACGTGCTCCAACGGGCACAATTGTCGGCGTTGTCATTGCCTTGGAATGCCCATTGCTCGATCCAGCTGGCGTGGGATCGGTCTTGATGACTCGCAATCTTGTGGACCGTGACCAAGTGGCCATGCATGGTCCTTGCAAGCGAGAGGAGAAGGGACCATAAATCAGAGCCTTTTCTGCCTATTTTGCACTCGGCCGGTCTGTACAAGGCTTCACGAAGGGTGTTGACTACCTGTGCGTTGTCACACCACAATCGAACGGGATGTCCGTGGCGCAAAACAAACCTCAAGGCACTTATGGCAGCTAAGATTTCTGCACGTCCGCTTGTTTGACGTCGGCCTGGAACTCGCCCTTGAGCCAGCGGCCACCATTGGTCGGTGTCCTCTGGGTGTGCCACAACGATACCCCAACCTGCGATCCGTGTGAACTGACAGGTGGGCCTGGGGTTGACACAGGATCCGTCAAGAAAAAGGTCACGTGGTTGGAATGGCACCTGTTCAAAGGAATCTGTGGAATCCGGGCAGCTGGCAAGTGCCCGTTGTAGCTCTCTTACTGACCCAGGCAAACCCATCCAGCCGTGGTAAGTCAAGCATTTGGGCAACCCCCCTGCTACGACCTGTGCTGTGAGCCATGGGTATGGCCTGGCGCTGGCAAAGGATGTGCGTTCCCAGAATCTGTGGAATTGAGAATCCTGCTGGCCGCAAAACTTACACATTAGGGTGTGGGCTTTATCATTATGGGCCTGTGTATCGGCCGTGAAAAACGTGCCATTAAGGATCTTACGAAGCAGTCCCTGCTTATGTGTATTTTGTGTTCAGAAGTGCTCGAGGGTGAATCCTGCGTGGACCCACTCCATCCCCTGGAACGTTTTTTTCTTAGTCAAGCAATGCTGGACGAAATTTTGCCAACCTTCTAGCAATCGCTGTTGAACTTCAGAATGGGTCCCATGAAGGAGTGCCAATGGCTGTTGTTCATGGTCTAAAACCCATCCTTGTCCTATCCAGCTCCATCCGATGGAATGCAATCGTTCGAGCAAGACATGGCATGGACCTGGTCGAGGCGGGCGTGTCCCACCCTGCTGCTATCAGGTGGTCCATCAAGTCACTAACCCTATCAGGACATGCATGTCGACGCATGGTGAAAACAGTTTCCACCAACATGGCACAGGCTGGGTCCGTGGACGGGTGTTCCACGAGTGACAAGTGGGCCATTGTGCTGATGCCCGGTGCGTGCGCTTGAAGGCCTCTACATGCTCCTGTCCGGAGTGTTCGTGCGTGTGTCTCCGAGACTTGCCGAAGACCCTGCTGACAGAGCTTGTGGCCATCCCTTGACTCTCAATGCTTCTACTTTCTGCCGATATGGCGCTGGCGATCTGGCCAATGCTGTCCAGGTGCGGGGCATTGCGTTGATTTTTTCTGTAGGACATGGTTGGTTTTCCGGTGGCCGTACTCCATGTGTGCTCCAAGATCACGGGCGGAGGCTTGCAGCATGAGGTGTGACTGTCGTGCTGCATGACGTTCTGCTGCGTCATTAGACCAATAGTATGTTTTGGCCTCATCCAGCTGTAAGTCAAGGAGGTGACAAAACTGTGTCATCAGCTGGAGTCCTTGGTGGACATCGGCGATACTATTGCCCCTGAGTTCAAGATTATCTACGTACGACCATAGTTTTACTGAAGGAAATCTTATGTAGAGCCACCTTGACAAGGCTATGTTACACAAGAGCATGGCGGCGCAGCTAAGGCCGCACCCCTCAGCGAAACCTGTGGTGGTGGTCAGTGGTGGTCCTATGGTTCCGTGAACACTGAAAGCACGTTCCATCTGGTGGAGTGCGTTTGCCCATGCTTGGATGATGGGCCTGGCTTTTCCTAGGCGCAAACCGATGGCTGGGCATGACTTCCCTGGGATATTGCCCGTGACTTGTGATGACACGAACTGGTTCAGGTATGCCAGGGTTTGCTTTGCCCTTATGGATGACCAAGTCCTGTAAACTATCGAGAAGACAGTGCGGGGACGGTATTGGCTGGCCTTCCAAGCACTTGGGTTTTTCTTCCAAAGCATGGACATGTCCTGCGACGACCTGCTTGGGCCAGAGCGATCGGCCTTGCTCAATTGTCAAGATGGGCTCGACATGGCTCCTGGGGAGTGCAAGCAATCACTTCTAGAGACCCCGTCGGGGCCGACTGCGGCTCTAACTTTTTTGTGGGAGACTGCTGTTTGCCAGGCGCGGTAGGAAATGGGCGAATATTCCATGCTTGGCGGGGCAGGAATAGCACTTTTGACAAAGTCTACTATCGGCGCCCATTCATGTCTGGCGTGTGGGCGTGTCGATCCCATCTTCTCATCCATTCAGCCTGGAATTCTTGGTAGATCTCCTCTAAGTCTGTGATCGGCTTAGTTTGAGTTAGGGAGTCACCTATCTGAATGGGTGGCATGGATTCCAGCCAGAGCTTATCAGTGTCTTGGTGGATTATTCGGAGGGGGATTCCATTATGTTCAATAGGTTCGTTGGGCTCAAAAGCATTAGCTGAGTCAAGCTCGATGGCACACTCCTGATCTATACATTCCACGGTTGACACATGGTGCGCCAACAGCGTCTGGACTGGTTCTGGCCTTGGTGCCTGAGGATCTGTGAAGATCCTAGCCGGGTTGTCAAGGCGCGACTGCTTGGCTTGTCGAATTCTGAACGTTTGTAACATCCTTTCCAGTGCATGGACATCTTCTTTGAAGTCTAGGGCCAAGGAACGTGCCAAGTGTTCGTCCGGCGCTCTCTCTGGGAGGATTGATGGCAATCCTAGGACACGCTTTGCTTTGCTTGCCCACCATTGCGGAAAGGAAGGTTTGAAACCTGTTGCATGAATTATGGCATGCCACTGTGCAAGTTTAGCCATTGTGATGATTGGCTATGTCCTGGGTGGTGCATCTGAGCAAGTGCTTGAAGTCTGCGGAGCTGTTTGATCCATCTTGTATGGAGCATGCTCTGTCCATGATACTCTGGGGTGAAACCTCCGGGCCGAGATGGACGAAGCGGGACGAAGTTCTCTGTGATCCAAGTCCGCTCTGTGTTGGCTCCCCTCCCAATTTGAGAATTGATGAATGTTCAACCCCAAACGTTTGGCTTCCGAGACTTTCTGTTGTTCGAAGGATTGCCACACTGCACGGTACTTATCTTCGGCAGTGTGTGAGTCCTGTGTCCCCTCCGTGAAGGGCTGTTCTTCTCTTGCCGATGTGGTGGAATTGAAGTTCCAATCAACCTGTCTGGGTTGTTTCCAGATGGAAACCCTTTGCGACGTGGCTTCTACATCTAAAACAACATACACTAATGAATGGTTTGCAACCCAATCCGGCTCCACACATACTTGTTTAACAAAAGGTGTAAGCTCTGGACTGAGAAAAAGCAAATCCTTTGC